GACTCTTCAATGCTTTTGAGAGATGAATATGCACAGAAATGTAGAAGTAAAAATCTTGTCATCAAACACACACATAGAGGGCTGTGTTTTCTTATGTGTAGGAGCCCCTCCAACCTATGATCACTCTCAGTCTCGTGTAGGAGCCCCTCCAACCTATGATCACTCTCAGTCTCGTGAACATGCACTTACAGTCTCTGTGGCTCATTGGTATTTGCTGATGAGTTTACAGCACATCAGTGGCTTGATGTGCTTGTACAGGGAGGTAGTGAGACAAGTCCACTCGTGGAGGAAGACACACTCGGGGCAGGGTGGATTTTAACCCATCAGCCCATGGCACATGGGATCCCTGTCCAAGTAGTTTTCATTCAGAGAGGTACATGCATGAAGGGAGGGAGGGAATGATATACAGCCTCACAAGCTGTGCTGCAAAGCAAGCTCTGAAGGAGGGACAGCTTCTCTGCCATCGTGCTTATCTGAAGTACTGTTGGTCGGCACAGAGTCACTTTCTGTCACGTCAGGTGTGGGGGAATTTGGAACGTCTACTACCCCCTTGGAAGAGAAACAAAGACTGTGTCAGGCTCAGAGACAGGCAAGAAGGGGTCAGTGGCCCTGCTCATCTTTAGATGACGTAGATTATTTTCACACAAATGTATTATACGCCTTCCCAGATCAAGATAGAGCTGTCCTTGCCTGACTACATGGTTGTCCAACAGCCCATGATCCTCTCAGATTAAAAAGTCCTGCAGGATTTCACCTTAACAGCTCACATGGGACAGCCTGCCTAGGACATGGCCAACCAGTGCCTCTGGAGAATACTGAGCTGCAGTAGTTTTCACAGGCAGTGGTGCAGACACAAGCCAAAATGGATAAAAAACCTCAGTGAAAATGTCATTTTTTATTCTAAAGCACCTAGAGATGTCAGACCTGTCATGTGCTGTACAATTACAACACTTCCTTTAGTGCATTAAAGTAAGGCCAGAAAAAACGGGGAGAGAAGTGATAAACGTAAAATGCCTGTCCAATGGTGGCTCTGCAAAGGAAGAGAGACAGACTGGAGTGAGGGTTTCTGCCCTGACCCTGGCACCCCATTTTGCTTTGTTAATCCTGCTGATGTGAGCGATAGGACAAGAGGAAACGGTCTCAAGTTGCGCCAGGGGAGGTTCAGGCTGGACATTAGAAAGAACTTCTTCACTGTTAGAGTCATTAAGCATTGGAATGGGCTCCCCAGGGAGGTGGTGGAGTCACCATCCCTGGAGGTGTTCAAAAACGTTTAGATGTGGTGCTTCAAGACATGGTTTAGTGGGTTTAGTGGGCATGGTGGCATCAGGTATATGGTTGGACTTGATGATCTTTGAGGTCTCTTCCAACCAAAATGATTCTATGATTCTATGATCCAACACCCAGCCTTTGCAAACTGCCTCCTGCGCTAGGAGGAAGCTCATGTCTTTCCCGCAGAGGGAACATTTGTGTAACCCTCAGTCATGTTCTGCTGATGGTCTGTGTTCCTCATCCCAGCGGGACCCTACAGGCTTAGCCCATGTGAACCCTGTGACAGGTTACACCTGAAGCCATGACCCACGGTGGTGAACATGGTGATTGTGAGCCTGCTGGCACTAGCAGCAGTACAAACAGGATCTGGATCAGGTAGGGATATATGTTTGCATTTGTCTAATTAGCTCCTGATGTGACCTGTATGCTTACCTCTGCTCTTGAGGCTAATTATTGGAATGAAGACACCAGCCGATGGGGCAGGAAGCCTACTGCTTCAGAGTCAACCGACCAGGGCTGACTTGAACCAGCAGCTTGTGTTTTACACTGTACCAGTGCTTTGCACCAGCCTGTCTGGTACAATCCTGGGATCCTGAAGCTGAAGTTACTGTATCCATCAGAGTCCAGGAGTCAGTGCTGTGTGCTCTGCAAATGTATTAAGATATAGAACCTCTCCCACAAAAAGGACAGGGCCACATGAGATGAAGAGAGGAAGCCAGTCCTGGCTCCCAGGGTGTGATCTGCCTCTTTTCTGTATCACTTTTCGTTCTTTTTAAAGCAGAGCCAAACATTTACACATGATCAAAGTGCAGGAATCCGTGTTGCTAAATAAACTCCTGTGTTAACTCCCACCTCCTACTTAAAAGAAACACATGTCTGTTATTATTATTATATTCAGTGGAAAGAACTTTCCAGTTTGCTGTTGTAGAAATTCTTCCTCTGCCATTTCTTCCAACAAAGCAGAATTTCTGTGTAATGAGGCAATGTGCCCATTTCCTAAATCCCATTCATTGATAACTTTCATTTCCCCAGTTCCTCCTGGACAAAATGACACTGGAGCCTGCAACTGTTCCTACTTTCTAATTTGTAACTGTATATGATGTTATTGTTACTGTTTATTGTTCATTTTACTTCTGAGCCTCAATGTCCAAAGTCAAAGCACCACTCTGAGACTCTACATCTTGATGCCAAGAAGGGCTTTAAGGCCATTTCACCATCCTCCTGGATAACAGAAACCACAGCACTATGTCTGCTTATTCCTTTGCTAAGCCAATTCTGTGAGGGACCACAGATAACACACCAGAAAAGACATACCTTGATCAACGAATTAAAAATAATTAAACTTGATCTTTCTTTCTGAATGAAAAACCCACATCAAAACTGTATGTTTCGCATAGCCTAACACTCCGACTTTCCTGACATGCAGCCACGGAGGAAAGAGGGAGTTGTCTATCCCAGGCAGAAGATTAACGTCCTCAGACAGCTGTAGGAATTAGTATGCTATTCTCGCCAGCCACCAGATGTAGTCAAGAATGGTTTCATATGCCCTCCACATCTGACTGGGCCTCCAAAATATGAGGCGATTTTAGTGACTTTCCAGACCTGAGAAGCCCCATGGGTGTCAAAATGACATTGGATCTTTTTATTTTAACAAACAAACAAAAAAATCCAGGATTTAACAAGGGGCAAAGCCTCTTCCATAACTACCTCTCTCACCTGGTTCATGATCCCTGATGTGGTGCTACAGTGTCCGGTACAAGCAGGCAGGTCCTGCTGCAGTCCAGGGGTGGAGGTGGGGCGAAGTCTGAAGAGCAGAGATGGTTGCTAGGGAACGACCCTCCCTCCATCTATAAGCTGTGGTCTCCATGGGAACCAGAAGAAACATGGCAGAGATCAGGGTCCTTGCTGACTGAAAAAAACAAGAAGGAGAGTAAAAGGCTCATGTCTCCCAAAATATCTGTGCCCAGAAGTTCTCATCACCTACACAGGATTACTCGGAGACTTCGGTAACACAGTCACAATAGTCAACAACACTGTATTTCAGCAGAACTGGATCCTCTAGCATCTCCAAATGCTGCACATGAGCTCACTGACCCCCACCACAGAGGAAGGGGAAGGTGCCCCCACTTTCCACATTAGAAAAGGGGAGATGGTGGGCTGGCAAAAGATCTTACATTGAGTCAATGACAGAACCACAGTTTGGCCCTCCTGTGTCCAGCACTCCGTGCTATATTTTAGCCCTGGAATTTTCATCCATTCTGCTCCACCATGGACCTGAGCTCCCACCAGGTCACCGGAATTTGTGCAGGTCTCCAGGAAGGAGTGCAACTCTCCTTCATGCTGCAAATCTGCTCTTCCCACTCAGCACAAGCAGGTGACAGGCAACAGAGAAGAATGACAAATATTCACAGATGTATCATCTTAGAAGTAGATTTTATTCATTGCAAGGAACCGAAAGATCAATACAAATCCACTGATTGTTCTTAGAAAAATTGGCAAAATACAAATCAATATGTTTTCCCTGTACCCTGGGCTGAGGAGAGCTGCCAGGTCTCATTGCCCAAGAAACAACTCTCCCTCTAGGCCTTGCTGCGCTTCAACTCAGAGACCTTGTACCGAGGTGGGGCACGGTGGAACCACTCTGACCAGGAACCGTCATAAATAGCCACATCACGCTTGCCACACAGGTAGGCTGCCAAGGCAATGTGACATGCCGTGACACCTTTGCGGCATGTGGCTGTCAGAGGCTTTGAGAGGTCCACTTTCTTCTCACGGAATATTTCTTGGATCTCTTCAATACTCTTCTCATGGCCACCTTCTGTTAGCAATGTGTGGAAGGGTATGTTCACGGCACCAGGGATGTGACCAGATTCCAGCCCTGCAAGAGTGAACACGAAAATGAAACATTAGCAAGGAGACATTAATGCAGGTGATGAAAGACACGTACAAAAGAGACATTAAAGAGACATCACTGCAGATACTCCCACTCTCTTCAGGATACTATTTGTTTCAGGTGAAGATGAAGATACAAAGCAGTATGGCGCTAAAAAGGGGAGGACAAAGATTATTTAACTTTGCCGAAGTCAAAACTTCGAGAATGTTTAGCAAACTATTTTCCCCCCTGAAAGCAATGAGAGGTAGGAATCTGAAGAAGCCCTAGACGTGACAAGAATCAAAGAACTACCACAGAGAAAATCCTAACAAAGGCATTAAGGGGATCTGTGTAAAGAATGCAGCAGTGCATTTCAGACCTTCCCCAAGTATGCCAGCAGTGTGTAGTGACACAGCTTTCAGAAGCATGAAGCGTGGCTTGTATGTGGAATTTGTGAAAGCAGTTACCTGTGCACAGTTTATTCATGTGTCACCTTAAAATCGTATTTCAGAAAAGTAAAGCAATCTTAAAGTCAGTCACACTACTGCTGAGGCAGCTATCCCAGGGCAATGGGATCAGAGCAGTGAGAATTTAGATTTTGTATCACTTTTTATCCACTCCATGGATGAAATCAGCATGGGATCTGTTTTTCTACTGGTATAACTGACCACTTCAGGGAAGCTGAAAGTCACATCTCAAGAACAAGGTCTTTAGAAAGAAACAGATATAAAAATATGATGGGTAAGATTTTCATCACGCCCTTGAAAGTCAAACTCTGTCACTATAGGCTTAATCAAAGTCCATTACACTCAACTGAAGCTTTTCCACTGACTTTGAGAGGCTTTCGATCAAGCCTCATTGGAGCAGGAAACATTACATACTATATTGAAAATGCATTTCAGGGAATGGTTCCTTGCTAGGTTTGAACTTCTAATGAGACGGCCCTGGGAAAGTCACATAAATAGTAATCTGTTTCAATGACAGCTTTCCACTTGCCTAAGTCATCAGGGTAAGTGATCTCAGAAGATGGGAGAAATCGGGGCAGGGAACCTTTGTCACAGTCAAATGATTGAAGTATACCTAGTCAGAGATTGACATCACACATCATAATGACACTGCAGTTCCATCACTCAGGCAGAGTGATGTCATGACATGATGAGATATGTCGTAAGGGGAAAACAGCATTTTGGCAGGGTACTGAGGAGGGAATTTTTGCTCTACTGGACAATGACTGAGAGCCTAAAGACAACCCCAGCTGTCCTGAGTCAGCTTCACAAGATCTCTCCCTGTTCCAGATGGACCCTCTTCGTCTCTTGATTCATCCTCCCCAAGTGCTGTAGAAATCTGGCACTGCTGTCTACTAGTCACCTCATGCATCCTTCAGAAGTGTTTAGCATTACAGGGAGAAGTCAGGAGAAAAACTGCTGACTTCTGGAGGGACTAACATTTAAAAAAAAAAAAAAAAAAAAAAAGACAGTGTTTTGGACTGATGCTTTCAGCACATTTTTTCCAGTCCCAGAAAACAACAGTTCATCACTTCAGTACAGACAACTGCAAAACCCACACTCATTAATATAGTGTCTGTATGACAGAGGTGAAATAAAAATAACACAAAAAATGAGTATGAGAGAACCTTGTTTGAAGTTCTCAGACTACAGAGCTTCTTACTGGAGAGTTACAAGCCTGGGTTAGGCTACTGCTTTCCCACAGAGTGAATGGTCCTGACCCTGTCATTTGGCATGGGATTTCTGCAAGGCTCTGTGGCAGTACTGGTGATCACCCCAATACAGACAAGTCTAAGCCACAGAACAATGCTCTCACACCATCCTAGGTGTACCTAGTACTGTATGTCCTAGGGACTGAGATCAAGAAGTCCTGGGGGCTGCACTAGAAGGGCCAACTCTTGCTCAAAGAAGCTTCCTGAACCACTGATTCAGTTCTTAGGTGTCCCAGGCCCCATGGTCATGATCACTTTTCCAGAGAGTTCACACATCTTAAAACAGGTAGGTTTGTACCCCTCATTAGAGACTGCTGTGAAACACACCCACCACCCTCAAACAACTCTTCAGTTAGGAGCTGAGCAGATTGGAAAAAAACAGTCTCATTTTAGAGCATTTTTCTCTTTGATCTAGATGGAGACTTCCTTGCTCCAGAGATTCAAAAGTCTGTTGGTGTCAGAGACCAGTGCTTGCACTCTGTGAGTAAAAAATGGGGAATAATGTAGAAACTGCATTTACTCATGTCTGTGGGTGTTCAGCTGAAAGAAAGAGCTGACACTGCACAACCACAATGCCTTGGACCACCTAAGAAGCGCTCTTGAGTGGTGAGGAAGTTTTATCAGCTCTCTCTCTGCTAGGACAAGAGCACAGAAACACAGGACTAGAAGGCAAGGCTGGATGCAGCCGGGATCTGAACAGGGGAGAGGATACATCTGCTCCTGCCTCATATGCCACAGAGAACACTCCATGCCGGATTCATGCAGTCACCCTTAGAAACTCCAGGAAGGAACTCCAGGGTTACAGAGCCTGGCTCCCAGCTACTACAGTGATCACTGTATAGGCTCCCTCTCATAAAAACATCCATCTCACAACCAGTTTGGATTCCTGCCATGAAACTTCCCACTGAGGCACCTTCTTGCTCACTTGAATATTTATTTCCAATGTTAAGTTCATCACAGTCAGTCCATACACCATCTATCCTTGAGCCAACATTGCCCTGCAGCTGAAAATTTTTCTCCCTTTCCACTATTGCTCCAACGTACTGATGACGAGCACTCAGCACTCCCAACAGCCTCAGACCCTTAGCCTAAACCCTGTTAAGAGCCTAAGCAGTAAGAGTCTGTTAGATACATTTTTCACTGCCTCGGCCACCCTTGAAACAGTTTTAGGTGACCACCAGGCTTCTGGATAAGGAAGTGGCATTTCCTAGCATCTCGACTGGTAGACAGGAGTTTAATAATTGCCATTGTCAAGGCCAAATCACATCTGAGGTTCCTGCACCTAACTAATTCATCCAAGTTTTATCCTCTTCTATTGCTTCCAAATGTGGGTCTTCAGCCTGTAAGAGAAACACAAGCAATTAAGTGTTTTGGGCTACTAAGCATCCAACCTTGCTCTCTGTAGCATTATACTTCCTTTCACTTCTATCACTGCAGGTGGTACCTCACATAATACTCCCCATGCGATCTTTTAAACCTTCCCAAGGCTGTACCAGCAGCACATTTCAGTAGCAACTCCCTATTTTCAGTGCTTCAATGATTCAGAAAAAATATTAAATAAAACATAGAAGCATAATGATGGGACCATGCTAGCAACTTCCAGCCCCACAGATGTGCTTTCAGCAGATATTTCCCTTATCTCCCTTTCAGTCAGTTTTTTGGGAATCTAACAGTACTTGTGCTATTTGCTCTCTTCTCACACTGGACTAATAGTTGCCACTCTAACATTATGTCCAAAGGACTAATGAAGTCCAAATGGAACAAGTCTACCTCATAGGTGCTTCCAATGGCTGGAAGAAAAGATCAGACATAACTTCCAGGCATGTATGTTCCCATTTCTTTTATCTAGCAAATCAATTCTGTTGGCAAGGAAATAGAGCCCTTAGCTGCAGCGCAAGTTTACCAAGGTGTTTTATTCAATTTTGGCTTCATTTCAAATAATTTTTCTTGAAGAGTTTTTTAGGAGCCTTCCAGTCTATCCATGTCATGATAACAGATCAACAGCTGCCTAGGTTGTTTTGTACCTCCTATCCTAAATACAAATACAAACTTCGCTACTGTTTCTGTCCTACAGAACCATGCTCTGATTACATGTATTAAATTCTTGCCTCACAGATTTGCAATGTCACATGACTGATTTTTAACACATATTTGGAATGGAGAGATCATCTGCCTCACAGATTTGAGCACATGGATATCTTTTGGTTATATTCCCTCTTTAGAAATGATTGTTTCTGCCTCTTTCCCCTTCTTCTTGCTACCCTTCCCCCTACTCTGCAGACTTATCCTCAGGAGAAAAAAATAAAAAGGTAGCACAGACTCAGTATAATTCTGAGGCTGTACACAAATAATCTTTCATCTGGAAGCCCTGCTAACTGCATAGCAACCCTATTTACTCTTTATCTCCTTGTTCTCTTTTTACTCACTTTGGTCCAGCAGTTTTTGTTATTTGTTTTAATTCCTTTTGCCAAGTCTCACTCAGCTTGGCTTCTGGCAATCCTCCCTCACAATTTGTAACCTGTAATATGTTATCTTCTTCACTGCTTAATCCCCTTTTTCACACCTATTAAGATTCTCTGCTTAAATATATACTTTTGTTGGCTGTTTATCTAGCTAAGAATACAGTCCCTTCTCTCTAGCCTTTCCCTTTGTGCTGAAAGCTCCAGATAGAATTTCTTAGTGTCAAAAAGATAAAAGATGTGCCTTGTCCACATTTAACTCCCCATGGTCTTGGAGTTGGCTGGCTGCAGATAGTTATTCCCTTCCAAATGTCTCCTCTGTTGCCTTCTTTTTTCTCTCTCTCTCCCATTCAAATTGTATGCCTTGGAAGGGACCATTAGTGATCTCACCTAATCTACCATGAATTCGTTGGAAGGAACACTTTAAGCTTGACCATGGCCAGCTCGGTCAAATCAATGGGCCTTTGCCACCAACGTAAAAATACCACGTGCGTATACAGCCAGAAGAGTCAACTCTAAGAAACAGCAGGGCCATGGTGCTAACTCTGGCAGCTGATATTTGTCAGCCTCGTCACATGAATGGACAGCTTTGGATTGTAGGTTCATGTAGGTTGAAACAGACTTTGATAAAGTCTCTCACTCTCCATGTTGTGCCTTGAGTATTAACTTCATGGTCAAAGCAGAGCCAGTCCACTCCCAGCTGCAGACTCCACTTGGAGAAAAGAGGGCAGAAGCAGCAACATTTAATTCTCACTCCCACTGCCACTGATCATTCAAGCTGAGCAAAAGCTTTGTTTGGGGCAGGGAGGACTGAGAGCTGGGAAAATGGGCAAAACCTCAAGATGTGTGTGTGCGCAAGGGAGACAAGGGCTACCCAAGGGCTGAGAATGAGAAGAAAAATAGTTGGAAGATCATGAAATGACTTTGGGTTCGCTTTTTTTTTTAAGACAATGGATTTCTTGTCCGGCAACTTTCCCCTCTTTTCTCAGATGGCTGAAAAAGAATTCAGAAATTTGCACCTTTTCTGTATGCATTTGTTCAGCTATAATTCTTGTTCCTAGCTTTCAGCACCCAATACTCAGAGAAAGCCAGCCCTGGTAACCATCACGTAATTGTTTTTATCATCTGCCCCTGGATTGCCTGGGATTGTCTCAGTTCAGGCTGGTTCCATAGACCTGCACCCTACAGCACCTGAGTAAGCAGGTCCTTTGAAGAACCCGGTTGCACCATTGCTGAATCACAGCTAGTGAGCAGACCTGAGTTGCTAGTTCCTCCAGAAACACAGCACTGTGCAGGGACACTTTTAACCCCTCAGTGCATCGGTCAGGGCTGCACTTCTGATGGGCTTATCTGTACACCATGCATGAACATCCAAGCTTTTTCATCCAAAGCGATACCTGCATTTAAGACCTATGAAACCTGGCTTATAGAAACACCGGCCATTTTTCTCCACCCTGGCAACCTGGGTAAACCTCTCCCAGCAACTAAAAATTAGACAGGTATTATGGCTTATCTTAAATGCTACAGAGGTCTAAATCCCACCAATGTAGCTGCTGCATAAAAATGAAACAGGGACAAGTAATTCTCACCACAAGGAACTGAAAAACTAAAGACGCAAAAGAGTCAGCTGAAATTAGCCTCTTCTAGAGATGGAGTTCATGGAACTGGAGAGATTAATTGACTTAATTAGGAAGTCAAGAGCTGAGGCAATAATTAAACTGAAATCACCTGAGAATGCAGCAAGTTCCTTAACCTCAAGACCATTCTTCTTCTCTAAATTGCAGGCAACGTTTCTCCTCCCTGATTGGATGACCCCTGTAATTAATCAGCATTGATTTCAAATTGCTCTTTTAGGTGTAAGCACTGCCTTTTACCCACTGCTGGCTGTAGTGCAGCTACTGGCTAGCCTGGTTCAGAAGGCTGTCAAGCTCCCGTGGAACGAGCATCTGCAGCTGGAGTGCTTATCCTGCTGGATCTGCTGTGGGAAGCAAAACCGGACCACCACAAATAAACTCTTTCATGCTGACTCATTTCAAAGGAAAAAATCTGTTTTCAAGATGCTGTCAGGGGTTGCGGTATTTGTCACCTGCTGACAGCTCCCACTTTGGGAAAGAGAATGTGAAATCCACCATCTCCCAGCAAGGAGTGTTTTATTCACATCTTGAGGTTAAAATTTAACCTTCGGTTTGAAGAGCTGCAGTGTGCAAAGAAACAGAATGAGCAATAAGCCTAACTTCCCCCTCTCTCCCTGCAATAGTCTCCTCTGTCACCCCCATTATTTTTCTCACCTTCTGTGCTATCTTGCACAGGTAGAGTGTGATTGGGGGGGCTCACTGTAGACACTTACAGGAACCATATGTACAGAGCCATTTACAGCCAAATGCTCCTGAGGTTCAGGTGCAGGAATTTATTTCAGGACACAGTGTCACAGTCAATGGCCATAGAGCAGCACACACATAAGAAACCTGCCAGAACAGAATGACAACCTGCATGCAGAGCAGCAGCACAGCACTGCCTCAAACCGCAAAAGCCTGCCACACAACCGCTCCTGCAGCGTAGAGTTCAACTCGGACCCGACAACTGTTGCTAAGCTTTTCTGTGCTTTGTTTTTGAAAATCTACATTTCTTTTTAAACCTTTTCTGTGCTTCCTTTTTGGAGGAGAGGTTATTCTAGGATATACCAAGGTTTAAATTACACAGTAAGCACCTCCTTTAACAACCAGCTTGAATTTCATTCCAGGCACATTGCTGTACCAGCTGTCCCCACTGCACAGGACTTCTCCCACCCCTGCTGCTTTCGTGTCCAGTGTTTGACCAAGGTAACAGAATCAATTTTTGTTCCTGTTATTTGGAACATCCAAGAGAGAGGTTAACTGCCCATACATTCAGGAAGGGTTCAGGGCTTTTCTTACTTAAACAAAAGGACAAAGATCAGCTCAACCAAGTTCTCTATTTGCTGGGAACCAGAGCAAGAAGGAGAATGTCCCTTGGGTTACTGTATTGCCTAAAACCCGGACTTTTGCTAGTGCATTCATTACGGTGAGAGCTGCCTCTGTGAATACCGATAGTTTGTACGTGTTTGCCAGTGTTAGATAAGACCCTGAACAAACCCCTGGGAGCTCTCACCTCCCATTTGCATTCTGTCTGATTAACTTCTGCACGGTGTGGGATGGGGCATCCTGGAGCCAACTGACTGCAGATCTTTTCTGCTATTTCCTCCTGCAGCTTTACAACCAACTACAAGAAAAGAATTTTGTGAGGGCACTGGGATCTGAATGCTCAACTGTGGTTACCTTAAGGTAAATCAACGAGTTAGGCTGAGGCATGCCTGTGCATTAGGAAAATCTGTTTGCCGGTTGGGAGGAGTTGTTACACCCGGACTAGTATTGACACTCATCCTGCTCCGGTGCAGGGGGGGCAGGCGCCATTCCCACCTCCATTACCTTGGTCCAGCTCAGTCCCTCGGAACCGGGCCTCCGGGCGGGAGTCCACCACCTGGAACTGCAGGGACCCCACGTTCTGCATCATCTCCTCGAAGGTCTTCAGCAGGGCTGTGTTCAGCTTGGCCTTAAAGACAGCCGGGGCAGGCTGGCTGACCTCCGCCGTGACGGGGTGGCCCTCCTTCACCCAGTTCTTGAAGCCGCCATTCAGCACAGAGACCTCCTTGTGCCCAAAGACCCGGAACATCCACCAGGCACGGGGGGCATAGAAGGTGCCCAGCTCGTCCCCATCGTACACCACCACATGGGTGTCATTGCTGACACCCAGGCGCCCCACATAGTCGGCGAACTGGGACTCGCTGGGCAGCATAACGTCGTAGGGGGATGACTGGTCCCG